AATTGTTAATTTAAAGCTATACGTTAAATCGGATGTGACATTTGAAAGTGCCTCTTTTATGTTCTATAGAGCTTTGAAATGCCTATATGTATGTATGTATCTATTTCTATCCCTCTCTCTCTCTCTCTCTCTCTCTCTATATATATATATATATATATATATATATATATATATATATATAAAGTTCTTAGCAGTTTTCAATCTGCTTCTTTATCATCTTCAAGAAGCGAGAGCAAGATTTAAATTTCAGCCGATCCAAAATTGATCTCATCCCAAAATCCTTACTCTTGCTCCCTATGTGGCTTCCTTTGTAAATCACTAGCAGGTCTAAAGTACCACTTAAGATTATTCCACAAAATGTCATAACTGAATCAATCAAGCTGTCAGATCCTCATACGTCGAAACCGACGGGAGAGTCCATTATATATAAAGTGGAAACTGAGGTAAGCACCCGGCGGTGACAGTGTTTAATGCTTAAAAACAATGTTCAGGTGTTCAGTTTTATATTTAAATACGCTTTATCCGTGTTATTATATACTTTAACCCATGAATATAGCGCATACCTTAAAATTGTATTTTTATCACGGTAAGCACCGACGAAATCCTTAACATTAACCTAACATTGTATTTCGTATTTATTCTTTGTAGTTGTATTTTTAAGTTTAAGGAGTCGTTTCAAGTCAGTGAACGGGCACAAGTAACACATTTAAACCTACAGGGAAATTGGCCTGAAACTGCATGTATCCCTATGTAATGTTATTTTGCATGCCCACGGGGTCTATATCTACAAATATAGGGTAAGGGTTAAATTTGATATTTCAAATGAATATACCACATTTTAGTGATTATGCACGCACACACACAAACACACACTCTTTCTGTCTGTCTGTCCCTCACTCTCTTTCTCTCTCTCGCACACACACACACATATATATAAATATATATATATATTGTCAGCCACAGACAGATTGTTTCGCTGTATCACAGCTCATCAGTGTGGTTAGACATCTGATTTGGCATCAGTCAGAGATTTTACCTTTAAGCAATAAGCGCCCGGTAGAGGGGAAGATGAATTTTTTGCATAATATATATATACATACATATATATATATATATATATATATGTGTGTGTGTGTGTGTGTGTGTGGCGTGATGTATGTGCGTGCGTTTGTAAAACTTTAGATTAAACTGAAAATATAAGACAAAGGGAAAATCAAGTTTTTGCTTTTTGCTGACGTGTTTTGTCTTCTGATGTTTTTTATCATCATAGACTTAATAGGCCGGTTAATAAAATAAAAAAAATAAAATAAAAAAGCCAGCAAAATGATAACAATACTGACAGTACAATTGATGATATTTATTATTTATTAGCCTTTTGACTAAATTGAGGCATGAAGAGAAATATTTTAAAATCGGAATTTTCGGGCACGCCTGTCTCCTTTTTCAACGAGAGGAATAATAAACAAAAAAGTAGGACTTTTGAGAAATGTTGTTGTTGGTTAAAGGATTGCGCTTTGGAAATTATACTCTCTAAGTAGACCCAGATTCCTGTTTAATTCCTCAATGTGTGATTTCATTTTGAATATATATTTAATCTCCGATCTGCGTCTTTCTTGTCGGCAGAATATGCTAAAAGGACGCATGTGAAGTCATCAATGCTATGAAACGGTTGGGTGAAGTGTGCAGTGAGAGGTTAATTATTATTGTTGTCTTTGGTGTTAATTTCGCTTATTGAATCGAACACGGAATTCCACTCCACTTTCTCAAACATAATTTCCTTTCTTGTATTTTCAGCATGAAAGTAAATATATAAAAACTGTCTCAAGACAAACCCGGTTGTTTGAATGTGTGTGCCGGTTGTTTGAATGTCTTTGAATGTGAGTCCGGTGGTTTGAATATGAGTGCAGGTGGTTTGAATATCTGTGAGTGCCGCTGGTCTGAATTTTAGTGCCGTTTGTTTGAATGTGTGTGAGTGCCGGTTGTTTGAATGTGAGTGCCGTTGGTTTGAATGTATGTGAGTGCCGGTGGTTCGAATGTAAATGCCGGTGGTTTGAATATGTGTGAACGCCGTTGGTTCGAATGTGTGATAGCTGGTGGTTTTTATTTGAGTGCTGTTGGTTTGAATGTGTGTGAATGCCGGTGGTTTGAATGTGAGTGCCGGTTGTTTTAAAGTTATACCCGATGGTTTGAATGTGTGAATGTCTGGGAGTACCGGTGGTTTGAATGTGTATGTGTGCTGGTGCTTTGAATATGAGTGCCGGTTGTTTGAATGTGTTTGAGTGCCGATTTCCTGAATGTGTGCGAGTACCCGCGCTTTGAATGTAAGTCCCGGTTGTTTGAATGCGTGTGAGTGCCGGTGGTTTGAATTTCTGTGATGCCGTTGGTTTGAATATGTGTGTGTGTGCGCGCCGGTGTTCTCAATGTGAGTTCCGTTTGTTTGAGTGTGTGAGTGCCGATGTTTTGAATGAGTGTGAGTCCCGGTGGTTTGAATGTGAGACCCACTAGTTTGAATGTGTGTGAATGCCGGTGGTTTGAATGTTGGAATGCATAGAAAACAGAAATACTGATTTAATAAAAATATATCCCATTTATCCATTTTAATGTGGAAAAATATCGGTACAATAAATAGTATATATAATCTTCATTCATACTTTGTAGAATAGCCATTATTCACTTCTACAGCAACCGACCTCTTCTTGTAGTTCTCAATGAAAGATTTGCGAATTTTAGTTCATATTTTCTTCCATACTCCTTCGCATATGATCTGAAGATCACAGATGTGTTTTGGAGACCTCCATTGGATTTGAATTTTCAAATAACGCCACAGATTCTCGATTGGGTTTACATCTTGCGATTGACTTAGCTATTTCAAAATATTTACATTATTTTCAGCCAGTTAATTGTAGGATTTGCAGTGTGCTTAGGATAATTATCTTGTGGGAAGATCGGTCAGAAGGAAGTTTCAAGATTTAAAACCGAAATCATTAAATTTGCATTCAAATTATTTTGATATATTCATTCTACCATCTATCACTGACTGACATGTTATCAGTACGTTTTTCAGAAAAATTTATTATTTATTTTCAATAGTAGAGAAGTTTTCCAAGGGTAGCCTGTCTTTAGATTGTTCCTATGAATTTCATCGTTTATTCTGTTTAATGACACAGATTTCTGATGAAAAAAAATCATCCTGCAATTCTTAACGAGTAAACATTAGATTTTGTTTAATTTTATGCATTAATTTCACCAAAGATCTTGAAGAAATCTCCGTGGAGCACCTGTTGTTCTTTGGTTTTAAACAGTTGTGAGTTTTTATACCTTGCAAGGAATGAACTAATGGGAGCAAATGTAATATTTAGGTTTTCTGAGCATTTCCTGTAACTTTTACATTCTTTCCTGAGCTTGGCAATCAGTTTCTTTTTGTAAATTTGTCAATTCTTTACGTCTTGCCAAGATGACAGACTTCTTGCATGAATATCAATTACAGAATGTTTTGCTTGTATTTTCAGGCTAAAATAACTATTGATAATATTATTGGAACAATAAATAATTATTGGAACAATAATAGTCCACTTGAATCACCTAGGGTATTAAAGCAATTTAAAAGTTTTAAAATCTGAAACTTGCTTTGTACTTTTTTTCACCCATTAGAATGGCTAAATAGGTTTTATTTCTATTAAATCAAAACCATTTTCTGTTTTCTATTAATATTTAGTCATTATGCATCTGTGTACAATTAATTATATGAGAAGTATGTTTATTCCTTAGTTGGAAATGCAATAAATTAAAATTTCTATGTATACGAATATTTGTTTCCCCCACTCTATGTATACACTTAATGCACTATAATAGCAAAAGTGTAATTTTTGTAATTAGTTCTAACGGAGTGCTTTCATACGTGCTTATAATTATAATAGAGCGAGTTTCTTGCGCATTTACAAAAGAATCACAGCTATCAATTACATTATTTTTTGTCAAAGCAGTTCACTTCTGAAGCTGATCTTGGATGAGATTGAAACTACTTGGAAACATAAAATAAATGGCAATAATTGCGGTATCTTCCTTATTGAAATTAAGAATGACATTAAGAAGGTAATCCGGGAATTCGAGAGGATTAAAATTAAAATAAATATACATAATATGTCCAAATTATTTAACCAAACATGCTTAAATGAAGAAGATATGCTGCGTAAACATACATATTTTAAAATACACGTAATACTAGCAAACCGCCCACATTCATTCTGTATATCTTCAGCAAGAAGAAAGCTCTACTCAAACAGTTTCTTCCCTCAAACAACCGACCTATGGAACAGACTCCCAAGAGGGTGTTTCCCCGGTCACTATGATCTTAACCGTTATCTTCCTATCTAAATAAACTACCGCATTAACGTAACTCTCGGCCCATGTACAGGGTGAACTTTACTATAAATAAAAGAAAAGAAAAATGTGAATTTTATTGAAAATAATTCCTCATATTTGCGTGGAGAAATTCAATGATTGTAAATCTCTTGTTCCTATATTTTATCAGCTTTTCATCTGAAGACTTATGTCCGTCAGAATAAAGAAATATCGCTACCATTTTAATTCCTCGTTATTGTTTGTTACTTTGCGTTGGATATTATGTTCGATGACCCTGAATCATTCCGTATATTGGTCTTTTTCAATTAATAAAACAATAACTGCTAAGAGATGCCGAGACGTGGAGAATACGTGCTCAGAACGATTTTGTCTATGGAGATCCATCAACGCAATAATGAATGCGTTGCTTACATAGGATACATAATTTATTCGTTTTTACGGGGTTTACCAACATTGTGGGGTGTTATTTAGAGCCCGAAAATATTTTTAGATTGTTTTCGTGATAATAATGATTTAGTGATACAAGTCCAATTAACCCATAGTTGAGAGAATAGAGATGGATGCTTACCTTGAGATTTTTGTGTAAGTGAATACAAAGAATCAGGGCCGTAATCCATTACACCAACCCTACATACAAGATTACAGCACCCGGTATTCCCAAGCGCACATCCATCCAGGTACTGACCGAGCTCAGCTTTGCTTAACTTCCGACATCGTACGAGAACCAGTGTTTCAATATAAGCGTTACATACTTTACAGAAATCAGCGAACTGATCAAAAGATTGCTAACAATGTTTTACCGAAATCATAGCTTCATTAATCACTCATCCCTACAAGGTTCGAACATCTGCCATAGCAATAGTGTTATAGTGGAACACACCTATTCTATAGGTAATAGACTCTCCCACCTATAATGAGTAGGAGTATGAAGAGTAACAAGCGAGTCGGCAGTGAGTTGGTCAGTCAGTCGATGTCGGACGACCGTTAGTCGGATATTGAAGTATCAGCCACCACAACAAGATTTACTCTGCGTCATTACCTATTATATCAAGTTCCTAACGTTTTGTACGTCGAACCTATTTTAGGACTGACTTAGTACAAATACAAGCCTCCACTGTGAAACCACTACATAACAAATAGCAAGTTGGAGAATAATCAACCATCCGCAAGGTCATGTGAGCGGTTTTGCACTTTGACACGTCTGGACAGTGAGATCTGGGCAGCACAGCCCAGATATGATAGCAATACTCCATTCTCAGTCTGATCTGATTCTTTTAAGGATATGCATTGGCCGCACCAGTCTGGTAATATCCCGGAGAGATACATAGAACCGTACATCCTTCCAGATATCTTTTACTTTCTATTTTAGATCAGAGTGTTCTTTAGACTCCGTTCAAAACAAAGAACCGCTTTAAGGGTATGACCACTCATCCAGAATGTTGTAGGTTTTAAGGCCTACTGGTGGTGATTAAGTGTTAATAGATTCGTTTGGATTATATTGAATAATAACAGCCAATCATTTACGCATTGAGCTGTTTAGAGGAAAAGATAAACTGCCAGACACTAGCGTATACCTACAAATATGTTTATTTGATCATAAAACTATTTTATGATTCTCATTCTTTAAGGTAATATTCTCTAACTTCAAAATAAGAACGAACGTAACATTATGTGAAATTGGCAAATATCGTAAATCTTGCATTCAAGCTTCAGAGAGTTTTCGTTCAGCATCTTGAGAACAGGCGTTGTTCCGCCCCGAAATCAGCAATCGTCTTCTTCGAACAGACAATGTAATGTTGTCTTCCAAGTAGTCATTCAAATAAACCGAACAACCTATTGTGGCGTAGAACTCAAACTATACGTAACAAAATAATTCTTTTTGAATTACAGCAAACAGGTATTCCATGTAGTCACGAGTACATTCGAGATATTGAATGGTTTTGGATTAATATTTTAAGTTTCTGAATCCAGCCACGACTTCTTAACTTTAGATAATCATAGTGATTACATTTTCCATTACCAGGGCAAAATATCTTCACTATATATATCTATACATATCGATACATATATATATATATATATATATATATATATATATATATATATATATATATATGTGTGTGTGTGTGTGTGTGTGTGTGTATGTATGTATATCTGCTTGTATAAGAGATTTGCTGTTAAAATAATTCTTCTTATTTATTTCTAATGAAATACAACAATGACATGAGTAGATTAATAATGGTGAATAAAACAAGATTTTGCTAGAAAGCAATATTTTCACGGTTTCACATCTGTTGTCTATGCATTACTAAGCTTCTTAGTGTGTTCCAATATGCAGTTTAATCTTGGTATATGTTAAGCAAGCTTCGATATCGAACAATTGATACAATCTTCACGAATTTAGAAATTCAATTATCTATATCCGATTCGTACATACTTTCAGCTTAGACATTATTTTGCTGGATTACAGTTACGATGTATTCTCTCTCTGTCTGCTCTCTCTCTCTCTCTCTCTCTCTCTCTCTATATATATATATATATATATATATATATATATATATATATATATATATATATATATATATATATATATATATATATATATATATATATATATATATATATATATATATATATATATATATATATATATATATATATATATATATATATATATATATATATATATATATATGTATATATATATATATGTATATATATATATTTAAGCAGTTTCATACCGAAGGAATTTTCAAAAGCTGCAATTATTATTATTATTATTTTGATTTTGGGTTGACACCTATTTTTAAATTCTGATTCTCGGAAGATGATTTATTGTCTGGGTGTAATATTTAAACAAAAATATTATTTAATATAATTATTAAAATATTATTTAATTTAATTAAATATATTTAAATGAATCGTAGTTTAATTTGTAATTTGAATTTAGGCCCAGATTAACATTTAAGATTAAAAATAAGGTTAGAAATAAGAATAATAAATTCTAATTTAGAGAGACGTTTGTTTTAAAAACGTAAGTAAACAAGAAGGGACGTTAGAAAATGAAGAGGAGTAACTCTATGTTTTACGCAAATCAAAATAATAATTAATAGTATTTTTAATATTAATATTAAAAAAAAAACTAAATCAGTAACAAAATATGCTGTGATAAAAAATAAAATAAGAAAAATTAAGTAAAATGAAATATGAACATATAAATATATAAATAAATATGTTAAAATATTTAAACAAATTCTAGTTTAATGTGAAATTGGGTTTTTATTCTCGCTTTTGTGCTTTCAGAAAAAAATAGAAAGAGCAGTGCTGTTACGATATTTGATATAAACAAATGCCATTTGGTGGTTGTAAAAGCGCAATTTCCAATTGTTTTTCGTAGAGCCCATGTAAAACTTGACCTGGTCGTCATGTTTGATTTCAGTTTTATAAAATAACGATTTGGGCATACATTTACTGTTTAATGGGCAAAGTTTGATTTTTCTGGAATTCTATTTATAAGTTGTGGTGATATTGTTGCTTTGAAGTTTGTTGACGTGCTTGGAAGGAATTGTTGTGATGAGTTATATACTGGTCAATAATTTTAGCAAAACTGTAAATATGAGGGTGTGAAATTTAAAAGAAAAAGCAACAAAGACTCAATTTGAAACTAGAAAATTTGGAAAGAAAAAAAGCATAATAACATCTGCAACCTATGCCAAGAAGAAAAGTTAGCATTAATGATATGAAATCTTTTTAATCAATGACCCGAGACTATGAGCTATTGTATTCATATAAAAAAAACAGTCCTCTTAATTGAATACGAGGCTGGATAAAAATATTCAATTACCTCTCCACCGATACATTTACAATTATTATTATTATTATTATTATTATTATTATTATTATTATTATATTTTTTTTCTTTGATTTCTGGCGTTTACACATTTCTTTCCGGGTCCCGCCCAGGGACCTAAGGTTAGAAATGGCGTCATGACACTTTCCACTGAAAAAAAAAAAAAAAAAAAAAAAAGAAAGAAAAAGATTACATAGATAAAGCCCTTCGTAAGGTGTGGGCTGTACTTGTTAGAACAATTTTCTGTATCTCCTTGAGGCATGGACTTCCAGGTATCCCTTCAATTAGTCTACTGGAATCTTTTCCAACCAGTCCTAGGGCTCCAACTACAACAGGGATTGTTGATGTTCCCATATGCCACATTTTCGCGATTTCTATTTCAAGGTCCTTGTACTTTGACAACTTTTTGAATATCTTCAAAGATACATTGCAGTCGGCAGGGACTGCCATATCAATAAGGAGGCACCGTTTTTGTTTATGGTCTTTAATAACAATATCTCATGGTTGGCCTTGATTGTTCTGTCAGTGTGTATTGTGTAGTCCCATAGAATTGTAACAGATCCTATCTCCGTGACCGGGTCTGGGTGGTGTTCATACCAGTTTCTTTCAGTTTTCTTCCCGTAGAAGTTGCAGATTTTCCAGTGCAGATATTGGCCCACTCTGTCATGTCGGGTTTTATATTCAGTGGGTGCCAACACCGTACAACCTGCTACAAGATGATCAATCGTTTCTGGATATTTATCACAGAATCTGCATTTTCGACTGACACAATATTTTAGTATATGTGCTTGATAATTCCTAGTTAGCAAGCATTGGTCCTGCGCAGCAAGGATAAAACCTTCAGTTTCCGCTTTCAACCCTGCACTACGTAGCCACTGATGGGTACGGGTTTTGTCTACGTCAGCTTGTTTGGTACGGGCAGAGTATTGGCCATGAAGCGGTTTATCTTGCCATCGCTTCTGTAACTGGTCTGTTGCATTCGTCTTAGCTATCTTTTTTTAGGTATTTTGCAGTTTCAGCCGGTGTATTGTGCTGTAGTTGCATCTCTACGCCCATTTGGAACTCCATTTTGAATTTGTTGGCTTCCTTCATTACGGAGTAGAGACGCTTACTACTTTCATGTTCCTTGACGCACACCATCATCCAGTCTTCTGTAGTTTCCAAATATCTTTGGAGGCCAATTGTTGTAGTTTTGTAGGACAGTTCTAGTTGAACTAATCCTCTGCCTCCTTCGGATCTGGGCACATACAGACGGTCGACATCAGCTTTGGGATGATGCATGCGATAGCAAGTGAGTAGCTTTCTCGTTTTGGCATCCAGTCGCTTAATTTCAGCTATGGTCCAGTTAAGGACATTAAAGCTGTATTGCACCACAGGGACAGCCAATGTGTTTATGGCTGATATCCTGTTTTTTGAGTTCAGCTCAGTATTTAGTACCAGACGTACACGCCTGTAGTATTCTTTTCTTATTTTTTCCTTCATTTGGGGGTGTTGTATGCCATCTCCTTCGCTAATTCCCAGGTACTTATAAGCTTCACCATGCTCCAGTTCCCTAATCTTTGTGACAAAATCTAAATCTATTAAGCGTGTTTCTGTAATTCTACCTTTCTTGAAAGTTACTTTTGCACATTTATCTAATCCGAAGTCCATACCTATGTCGTCACTGAAGTATTTTACAATATTGAGGAGGCCTTTCAACTCATTGTCGTCTTTGGCAAAGAGTTTGAGATCATCCATGTAGAGTAGGTGATTGAATATTTTCTTATTTATTTTGTAACCATAGCTACTGTTGTTCAGTTCATGTGTAAGAGGGATTAAGGATAAACAAAACAGAAGGGGTGATAGAGAGTCTCCTTGAAAGATTCCACGTCGGATATTCAGACGGTTG